ACAAGTTGTGCAAAACAAGATAGTATCAAAATACAAAAAAATGCATTAACCACATTTCATGCACAACCAAGATTTTAGAACATACAAGTCATGCCCTAAGTTCATTAACTATAATGGCATGTGAAATGTTAAGAAATCATAGTATGCATCTATATAGATTAGAATCAAGATATATATAGCACATAGAATCCATTGAAGGAAAAATACCACAAGTATAAGATACATGATTCAAGTACTTACTAAGCAACACATGAGTAATTAAATCATTCCCAAGACAAATGTCCATGTTCATTAAGTACATTAATGAAAACTAGATACAAAGAGTCACGGTGCTTGATAAAAAGATGAAAGTACATGAAATACAAGTCTGATTCATAAGTTAACACGAGTTCAATATCAAAGCATGATTAACGCGATGGAAGCATATAAGGAAATTTAATCTACTTAAGGGATTAAATTGTCAAAATTACAAGACAAGTCAAGGATCATGTCAAGGACAAGTTCAATATCAACTTACATATTCATTTCATACAAGACACGACTATGTGAATCAAGTTCCATACAAAGGAAATAATAAAATATAAGTTTCAAAACTCATCCGATTATTCTCAAATTTATACATGTGAGGGAACTTGTCAAGGAAAGCATGAATGCTAAGTTAGAAACTTAATCAAGACAAAGGAGCCATTGAATGGATTTTAATTAATCCTTTTAATTAAAATCTCTAGGTTTTGAAATTCATCTAAATGATCTTAATTTAATATATGTTATACAACATGTCAAGACTTGATTTAAAAACATGATACAAGTGAATTCTAAGTAAGACACGGCCATAAGTATTAAACTTTAATACTAAAAAAAATAATAAATGAAAGGCTTCAAAACCTAATCAAATATTCCCGATTTAATATATATGAAAGTATATAGCAAACATATCAAGAATATCAAGTCGAAATTCAAATGAAGTGAATAGTACACATAGAATAAATTAATTAATTAATTAATTAAATATTCTCTAGATTTTAAAACACCTCCGATTAGTCTCAAATTCACCTATGTTGAAGAACATGCTAGGGCCTAATATAATATGCTAACACACATTGATTTTAAATTAGTTAAGGCCACTTGAATAAAATATTTACCCAAGATAAATATTAAATAAAATCTTTAATACTTGTCCAAAAGCTCTCAATTTAATATATGTCAATGAACATATCAAGGGGTAATATAATATCATGCAACATGTTTAAACCAAGCTATGAGCAACCGGGAAAATCAAATCTTACACAAGGAAAATAATTAAATAAAAATTCTAGATTTGATATCCAAGTATATAAATGAGTTGTATAAGCATCACAAGTATGCTATATAACAAGAAAATAAATTGCAACACCCCCTACCTCAATTTGAGATGAAAATCTCAAAAACCCACCGAAATAAAAGTGCTCTGAATCCGATGATACCGAAGGGTTTTGTCGGGGACAACACGGTGAACAAGAATCCCAAGGAAGCCCCATGAAAATCACAACTTGACATCAAACCCCACTCACAAAATGGTCAGAAATAGGTTCTAATAAGGGAGAAAGGTATAGCACGACAAGGCGAATAATAAATGTTAAGGCCGAAGACTTTTCACCAAGGAAAAGTGGATCAAAAGAGGAGAGAGAAGGTGACAGCTCCACGGGCATCCATGGCTACCGGCCAAGAAAGGAAGAAGAAGAGAAAAATCTAATTTTTCGTCTTTAAGTCCCCTATTTATAGAAAATCTCAAAAAGTGCCCCGGAAGGGCCCCACCGGGTCTGGAAAAGTGGAATTTGAGCAGACGCGCTCAAACGGCAAAACTCCATGAACAAAAAAGATTTAAAATGAGAAAATATGAACAACGGATGAAACAGTGTCAAAAATTGAGTCTCGAGCATAGAGATATACCCCGAACAAGTTCGGCGACAACCGGGTTCATAAACTCCGAAACTGGAGAAAAATGACCAGAAGGAAATTTTAAGAGTGCACGACTCGACGAAATGTGAAAATGAATCCCGTACGAGGATCCAACCTCCAGACGAGGTATTTTTGCAATAACTTTCGTTAATTGCACAATAGCCCCTCCAAAAAGGGTTAACTGCAAAACTACCCCAGAATGAAAATATCTTCCAAAGGATATTTTCTTAGATACCCCTGAAATAAAATATCTTCAAAAGATATTTATGAAAAACACTCCAAGAAAAGAAAAAGATTCTGAAGAATTGTGCATCCATGCCCCTATGGACACCGAGAGCAACCAGAGTACTTTCTTGCAAAAGTAAACATACGTATTTCGTGGAAACCACTTAGAATGAAGATACGTGAAGTCAAAAACCAACTCCACGCACGATAAGTGAGGCTATGCCAACAAAGTGACAAACGGGGAAAAGGACGAAAAATGAATAATGTTCCGAAAGTGAAAATGCGAAAATGACTCAGTCCTTAAAGGAAGTTGTCAATTCAAACGAAAGAGTCTCAGAAACCATTTCCGAGCACTCAAGATGACTTTATGTGATGAGAAACTGAACTCAGAAAAGAAAGTTAAACGGAAAAAATTTATTCGTAAAAATTTAAAAAAAAAAAAAAAAAAAAAAAAAAAAAAAAAAAAAAACGAAGAAGAAGAAGAAAGAAATGAAGGAAGGAAGGAAAATGATCGGGTCATTACAAATTCACACAATTGAATGAATTGCATTAAACACCCCTAACTTTGTGGAGGTGTTTTTGGCAATAAGTCAAAAGATTATTCCTCTTAGTTGGTTTGGGGAGGAGGGGGGGTTTAGAAAAAAATAAAAATAAAAATAAAAATAATTTATTACAAAATGCTACAAGTCAAGGGAATTAAATGTTAGGTCTAAAAACACAAAACCCCCATATTGTTTACAAAAATTATCTACTAACCCCTTCAAGTATAGAAACTATCATAATACCCCTCAATATTTTAAAAAATATATCATATCACCCCTTCCTCGTTAGTTGACCATTTAAAATTAACGTCTTCTTATTACGTGACCGTCACGTGCACTATATACCCCAATATAATGAGGGAATTACCCTTGTTCTATAAAAATGATGAAATTACCCTTCTGTTTTGTTATCTAATTAACCCCCTCAACTATATAACCTATTATTTAGTTAAGTTTTGTTATCTTCTTCTTCTCTCTCGTTGCACTGGTGTGAGGATTCCTCTATAGCAAGATCTCAGGTATCTTCTCTTTTTCTCTTCTTCTCTCTTCTCTTCTTCTTGTCTATCATTTAAGTGGTGTGAGGATTCCTCCATAGCAGCAGTAATAGAAGACGTCTAATGGATTGAAGTCCCCCCCCCCCCAATTGATGATTTGAAGCCCTAATTGATCTATTAAATTCTCCAATTGATGATTTGAAGCCCTAATCGATCTATTGAAGTCCCTAATTAATTACTTGAAGCCCTAACTCTCAGCGAGTGTGTGACTTATTTAAAGCCCTAAATCACAATCAGCCGAAGCCCAAATATCTTTTTCCACCACACAATCTGTTAATCGACAAGATCTCAGGTATAACAGCATAATATGTGGTTGTGGGTATCCAACTGTTGTGATAGTTACAGGTTCAAATGAGTATAACAACAAAGGGAGGATATACTATTCTTGTGGTACAAAAAATTGCTCTCTATGGGCATGGTGTGATCCAATTTGTACAATGCCAGCATATACTGAAGCAGATGAAAGCAAGCTTAGTGAAATTGCATAATTAAAGTTCTAGTACGATACAGTTAGTTCCCGTTTGGAAGCTATGGGAAAATGCATGGAAGAAATCAAAAAAATTCTGAAGCAATTAGTTGTAGCATTTGTTATGTTCTTTGTTGTTACATGTATGCTAACTTTAAGAAGAAAGCAGTCAGTTGGTTTTAATATGAGCCTGTGTGTATGCAAAATATATTTTGAAGCCCTATGAAGTATGTATGCAATGTATTTTATGAATTGTCAAATGCATGAGTAAAAGTGTTTGTTGAAGTGAAATTATAGAATTGAAAGTGTAGTGTCTTGTGTTTATGTATATTTCGAATTGCATGAACAAAATGGAAGTGAAAAAATTGAAGAGGAAAAGTGCATTTGAGGGACAGTTGCATAACCAAAATCAAAGTGATAAGCGCATGACGAAAAAGTGCATTGTGCTTTTGAGGTAAAGTTGCATTTCAAATGCATTATACAATTGAGGAAAAGTGCATGTTGAGAAAAAATGCATTGGACCATAATGAGTGTGCCAAAAATGGTAGAATCTTGTGAAAACATATAAACCCTATAGCATACAACTATTGTCATATGAAAGCATGCATAACACATTCATATATTCAAAGTAACACATTCACTGTACAAAATAGCCACACATATATTGTCATGCATTGTTAAAAAAACCATCCACTGTCATTACACCATTAATACAAAAAACCCACCACTGTCCAAAATAAACCCACCATTGTCCAAAATAAACCATCCACATACACCATTAATACAAAAAACCACCACTGTCCAAAATAAACCATCCACATTACACCATTAATACAAAATACCCACCACTATCATTACTTAGGTTTACAATAAAAACATAAGAAAATACTTATATGTAGTCAACCATTTCTTCAAAATCGTCACTTTGTCCACTAAAAAAGCTGCATAAAAAATTTGCTACCACTTTCATCAACATGCCATCATTCTTGTGTGTTAAGTGTGGATGGAAAATCCATATGAACCACTTCATATTGGGTGGATGTCAATGCCTATTTAATCGATGGAAAATATGTGTTAGTTCAGTTTTCTTTAATGTAACCTAAAAGAAAATAATAAGAGGTTCAATAATAATACCTCTGAATGACCAACAATAGCTCTTTCACCAAGACCATAATGTTAAGTGGATATTGATGGCTATTAAATAAAGTAGTAAATGTCAACATACATGTGTTTATAATGTATAATAAATATGAAATAAAAAATTATAATTTTTACCTATGAATGAAGTATAACAGGTTTCTTACCAACTCTGCCACCACTGCCACCAATGCCAGCACCTCTAGCAGCTCTGCCACCACCTCTAGCAGCTCTGTCACCACTTCTAGCAAGTCTGCCACCACCACCTATGTGAAAACTATCACCACCCCTAGTAGCATCTCTGTCATCCCTACCACCTCTAGCTCCTTGTCTAGCTCTGTTAACTCTTACACCACCTTTGTTAGCTCTCTCACCACCTCTATTAGCAGCTCTCCTACCTTCTGTAGTAGAATTCCTCCCACTCCTTCCAACAACAGTTTCATCTCTACCACCACCTACACCACTTGTGCGCCTCTTACTATTGGTGGTGTAATGTTTTTGATTTTTATTATTTTCTATTTTTTAGGATTTTTTTTTATTTTTCAGGTTTATCTCCATCTTGTCTCGTTTTGTGTGCCGGGCACCGTGAGGTGTGCCGAAGAGTCCCGATAATTGGTTGGGATATTTTCTTGAGTTTAGGACTCTTGGAAATACATTGGTTGCCATTTCGGCATTTTTTCGTTTTTTGGGCAGGGAGAGGTGGGACCCGTAACCGAATTTGTGGTGTACGGCTATTATTTTTCGGATTCATTGCATTTCATTCATTATTATTTTGTGCATAGATTATTTGCTTACATGTTTATTTGGTGGCTATAACTTGGTTAGTGTATATGTTTGTTAAAATGAAAGAAAAGAAAAAAATTGAGATTTTTATTTGGCCTGAGACCCACCACCACCATAAGTCATTACAAATGACTTATGAGTCATTACAAACTCATCAGTTTTCTCTCTCCACGCCAGAAACTCTCTCTTTCCTCTACATTTTCTTTTCTTCTTTTATTTCTCTATTTAAAGCTTTGATCTCTCCTTCTCCTTTAAGAATTAAACTTTGCAACTGAAGGCAAAGTCGACGAGTACGATGAGGGCTCTATTTTAATCGGAGCAATTTTTAGTTTGGAGCACCTTTGGGATTTTAAATTTTACGACTGAATCAGGGCTTTTCATCTTTATTGAGGTAGGGGTGTTCTAATCCACAAATTCTTTGGTTCTAGTGAATTTTCTCTCCTTAAATTACTTCTAAGCATGTTTAATTAAATTTTTATGTGATAATGTGGTTTATATGAATATTTGGTTCAAATATATGTTCCTTGAGTTGATGTAATGAAATATATATTCAATTTATGCTATGGTATGTTATATTTGCATATTGTTGGAAATTATCGGCTTATACAAAATTTCATTATTGAATTGGCATTTGAAAGAATGAAACATTTATGCATTCATTGGAAAGAAAAAGGGAAAAGTGTTTTCGAAAACAAATGAAATTTTTTTGTAAAAATGTTTTAAAATTATTTGCAAAAACCCAGACGCCTATTAGTCGCTTAGTGGTCCGTGGCATTAGTGTGGTCTAGAGAGGACTAGGGAGAGACTCTAGCATGGTTGAGCTACCTAGGCCCTTTAACGACGCCTTGGAGTTACCATGTGGTCGAAGATAGTTAACCAATCTTCTTCTCGTAACGCCATGGAGTCGCTGTGGATCGGATTGCACTAACGGTTTGGAAAAGTGAAATGGTATTGTTTCAAAAATGGGGAGCAACATTGCATGACATTGCACTTCATCGGCATATGTTGTATACTTGGTGGTCAGATGACTTATATACATTCTTTTTGTTGTATTGTTGCTTTGCTTGTTTTCCTAAGGCATAATCCCGTTTACTTGTACTCTATTCTTTGTGTGGATTCACGGGGTCATAAGAGTTGTGTCTTAGACACTTCCTACTAAGCTGTTGGCTCACCCCATTACTTTAATATTTTCAAGACATGGAAAAGAGGTTGTGGACGACAATCCATGTGATACCCCCTAATTTCGAAACACGGGTTGATCAAGTCCGCACATAAAATCAGAGGACATCAAAACAATTAAAGTATTTAAACAAGCACATATTACAAAAAGAATTAGAAAGAATAAATGACTCACTGAAGAAATTAATAAATAATAATTCCATTAAATAATAATTCTCCAAATGTTACAACTCGGGAATCCCATAATTCAAGGACCCCTAAATCAACATACACTATTCAGAAATCTATAAATAAAACTTAAGTTAAAATAATAATATCCTACTTTAACATAAATAAGAGTGGATGATAAATAAGTCTCACAAACTGCGGATCCTCAACCTTGAGACTTGAACCTCTAATACCTGAAAGATAAAAATAAGTGAGTCAAACCCACGAGCAAGTTCTCTTTACCAGGCCTCTGAAAACCAATAAGCAGATCATCTCTGATTAAAACCAAACCTAATAAAGTTTTAACTTTAATAAACAATAATACACTAACCACATCTATTACTAGGTTCATTAATTTTTAAAACCCATAAACAATGATTAAATATTAATCATACCTACATTAATCCACTATTTCTTTTAAAGAAAAATTCCTTAAACCTTAATCACATCCTAATCGATTATTAAATCATTTAAATAATAAAACATAATTAATGGAATAATACATTTAATCTCATCCCTAATAATAACTGTAATTATTTAAATCACATATTCAATATCCAAGCTTTAATAAATCATCCATATCTCCACCAGTATTATTTTATTAATATATGTACAATAATACACTAACTTGTAAATATTAGATTATTCTAATTTAAGAACATCTAATCTTAATCCAACCTATACATACAATAACCATAGATGCAATTTAAACATCTAATACATATAGCCATTAACTTATGCTTTGGCAAATCAACCATGCTATTATAAATATATTTATTTATATATTGGCAACTCAACCATGCCTCCTTAAGTATATATTTATACTTTTAATTAACAACTCATTCATGCTTCCTATATATGTATTTTATTCATACAAATATTTAGGCCATATATTTAAGCTTTCTGCAACTCATCCACGCCTACAATTCAACTATGTACCAACTTTAAACTTAACGATGAATTAAATCACATATAGACATCTCATGCATTTCATAAGCATAACATTACTTTAATAACCAGCTTATCTAGATATACCAAATAAGAATAATTAATATTAATCATCTTAAATGATATATATATACATACACATATATTATATAATATATAAATATGTATAATACCATCTATAATAATCTTTGATTATTTAAATCATATATATACATGTATATCAATATATATATATATATATATATATATATATATACACACACACACACACATCCCTCCATACTTATCCTAAACAATTAAACCATATATACATATATATAAATAATTATATATATATACATATACTTCCTTCCATAATAATATATTAATTTAATTATATTTACGCAATTTAAATGCTACTAAATATCGTCAGAAATAGTTTCCCATAAATACTCCATCTTGGTAAATAATTTTTCGATACCGTCTCACTAAAATGTAAATATCTCTTAGTATGATGGGAATCTGATAATAAAATTAGTACCATTGGAAAGAGGATGAAAAATCTTTGAATTTGACCTTAAGAATGACCCAATTTAGATTTAAAATAACTGAGTTATGACCATTTCAATTTCATGTCACAAAACAGGCAAACAGGGATCAGCACGCGCCCCCACGCACTTGTACGCACTGGATCCAAGTCTCCATGTGTACTGGCGCATTCTGATTGGCTGGAGTTGGTATGGTCATAGCACCAACGTCTAAAAGATGTGTAAAATAGTGTGGCCAAGTTTTAAATTTATAAATGCCACTACTACCGCTAACTAAAAATATAGTTAGGGTGAGTAGGGATCGTCCTAAGGGAATGTGGGTGCACTAACAATGGAAACAATGTTTAGGGTTAGTAGGTCAAGTGATTAAAGGTAGATTGTTTAGTTGATTAAACTATAATGCAATTGAAATTAGAGCAAGCAAAAGTAACAATTTAGAAAGTAGGGGAAAAGATATAAAGGAGAGGACTTGGGGTACTAGAGCTCACCTCTAAGCTTGACTTCACTAGACACTAGCAATTGTATATCAATGGAGAAATTGAATTGTAACTTGTGGGTGTGTGTGACATTAATTGAAACTAGGCATGGATGGCAAATAAGTATAGATTGTCTAACCAATTCAAATGAAAAGCACAACCTATCAAATAAGACCATAATCCATTCAATGAAACCACAATTTATGCACACACAACTATTTAGAAACATACACTCTTTGCATTCATAAGGATGGAACAACAAGGAACAAAAATAGATTGTCCACCTATCTATAAATCTAAAGTAACTACACTACATCTACACTAAAGATATGGAAATTAAACTAAGTAAGCTAAAGGTGTGGCACAATCCATCAAGAAACAAGTGTGAACCATCAAATAAATTGCAAAAGTGTTCAATTAAGTACTATGTTTTGATCATGTATGGATTAACTTCATCTATACATATAGACATGCATAAATTCCATTACATCTCAAGAAAAACACATGAATCATCCATTTTAGCATACATAGACATATGATTAGAAATAGATAATCAATTGAAAACATTAAGCCATACACATCAAGTAGAAACCATAAGATAAATATACAAATCCAAGATCAAAACATTTGTTACAAGTAAATCCCTAAAAACATACAAAGCACTAAGTCTAGGAAGCAAACTTAGGGGTTACTCTAACCTTAAGTAGATGTCTAGCCACTCATTGAAGTAGTCATCCAACCCTCAAGTGCTATCTCCATGGTAGGAATGACCTCCTTCTTGATGGAAACCCTAGAAGAATGAAAGAACTCCCAAAGATGTGTAAAAGCTCTCTCTAGTCTCTAGCCTCCTCTCCAAGATATGAGATATGATATAAAAATGGCTCAAAATCCTTATATAGGAGGCTCAAATGTCACCCCCAATGGTCTAGAGTCATGCACTATGGTCCTTGAATTGATTACACCATGAGCCAACTTTTAATGAGCTGGAACTTATTTTTTTTCAGACTTGAGGATATTCGATCAATCGAATTGTCTTGAGATCAATCGAACATTACTGAGATCCATCGAATACTGCAGAGATCGATCATCCTTGGCGGCGCCTTTTTGAATAAAGACAAATCACTGAGATATTTTGGGATATTTTAGGAAAGAGACAAAAGTGGTAGGTGGAATGGTAGGTGTGGATAAGGTTGAATATGTTCGATCGATCGAAGAATTGTTGGATTGATCAAACATGCTAAGATCTTTTGGATAAAGCCAGTTGCTTGGATCCATCTTGAAATGCCTAGATCGATGATGCTTCAATCGATCGAAGAAATGTTGTGATCGATCGAA